TAGTAGTAGTAGTAGTATGTAGTAGTAGAAGTAGTAGTAGTAGTAGTAGTAGTAGTAGCAGTAGTAGTAGTAGTAGTAGTATGTAGTAGTATGTCGTAGTAGTAGTAGTAGTAGTAGTAGTAGTAGTCGTAGTAGTAGTAGTAGTAGTAGTAGTAGTAGTAGTAGTAGTAGTAGTAGTAGTAGTAGTAGTAGTGGCAGCAGCCTGCCGAATAAAACGGTCGCCCAGGGTCGTTGTACATTTGCGTGGGGGTTTTCCCATGCCATGCTCGAGTGTTTACTCGCGCCACGTTTATATGAAATTCTCATTAGAGAAAGACACCTGGCATTCCACTCCTCTCCGATCCTTCCATTCATCCCCACTCCATTCCGCCGACCCACTCCCTCACCACGTCCGAACGACCAGCTGCGGCAAATTCTAGACGCTTCGCGTAGCCCCACCAGCTTATCCAGAAACGTTGTAGCATGATAAAGGGCTGGGTAAGATGTTGCCCCCCACTCGCAATAGGGGCAGGATGGAGGAGCAATCGGAGGAGAGTAGGGCAGGAGGAGGAGGAGGAGCAGGAGGAGGAGGAGGAGCAGGAGGAGGAGGAGGAGGAGGAGCTGGAGGAGGAGGAAGCAAAAAAACTGGAGACCTCTTGGACGCCTCTCGAAGTCTTTACGGATGTCGATCGAGAGCTTCTTGGAGTCTTTGTGGGGCGTCCTGGGGGTCTCTCGGCAGTCCCGGCGGCCTCTTGGGGCGTCTTTGGTGTCTCTGGGTGGCCTCTTGGGGCCTCTTGGGGGATCTTTAGGGATCCTCTTGGGGGCATCTTGGGGGCCTCTTGTGGCCTCCTGGGCACTTCCTGGGGCAGCCTTGGGGAACCCTTGTGCAATCAATGATTTTTGCCTTCTCGCCGAGGCCATCTTGGACGCTTGAACGACCCGCGAAAACCGCGGTCCCAATCCAGGGGGAGGGACCTCCCGTAATGGAGCGGGGTAGGGGGAAGGTCAAACCCCTCCCCGAAGGGGATACAGGTAGCTGGAAGAGGGAACCCGCTAAACAACTCACGCCCTGAAGGGCGGGGGGGATTTGCCAGCTGTCCTGTAGGGCCCAACGGACGCCTCAGCCTCGCCGAGCGTCGGCACTGCTGGTGGGCAGCTCTGCTCCTAATTTTTTCAGCTCCCGACAGGGCTTGGCCCCTCGAGAGCAGGTTTTGGAGTGACGCGGGGCCTCGAGTCCCAGCCCTGGCCCTCGATAGAGAATGGGGAGGCCGCTTGCTACAGCGTGGAGCGCGGCGGCCCTCTCGTCCGTGCCAGGCCGCGCCATGGCCGCGACGCGCGCACCGTTCGTCTTAGGTGATAGGACGGGCGCCGTCCCGTTTGCTAACTTCGTGAAGGCTGCGTGAAAAGGCCTGAACAGCTGAAACGCACCTATTATATGATGCGGCGGAAGCCGTCCCTTTTGCTAACTTCGTGAAGGCTGCGTGAAAAGGCCTGAACAGCTGAAACGCTCCTCTTATATGATGCGGCGGAAGCCGTCCCTCTTAGATGATGGGACGAGTTGTCACACAATGACCGCACTGCAAAACACCGCTGTTGAGACAAAAACGCCGTCATGGTCGTCGCCGCCTGCTGCTCCCTTCGCCTCTGATCCCTGCCTGCCTGCCTGCATCCACTCTCGTGGCGGTGGTGCCGCGCAGCGCTTGCCCCCATTAGCACCCCCCTCGCTTCCCTATGCCGCCGCCTGCCCTGTCGCCCCTGTTCCCTTTGCGTCCGTCTGCCCCCTGTCGCTCCTCCCGTCCTCCTCTTCCTGACCATTTGCCTTGTCGTTTGATCTGTCCCCTGGTCCACTCGTCCCCCGCCCCCCCGCCTCTCGCACCTCCAGGAGCAGCGCGGTTGTCGGGAGACCGCTGCGGGCAGGCAGGGGGTAGATTGGGCGCGCCGTGGCTACGCGGAGCCGTCTTGGAGGGTGGACCTCTGGGGGCCATCGTGGAGGCCATCTTGAGCCAGTTTATGAGATTGGGCCATCTTGAGGCAATGTTGGGCTTTTTCAGCATCTTGGAACAATGCTGGCCCAAAAGCCGGCAAGGATTCCGCTGACATGCCCAACTATGAGACAGGTATTTGTTCCTCGGTGATTCAAGAGGCTTGCGTCATTTCGCCAGCCCCCACAAGAGGATGTGTGCGGCTCCAGATTCCGTATGTGTTGCTGCCGCTTGTCGTCGTGCTACCCCCGTGTAGTCGTTGTTGATGCGTCCTCTTCCTCCGCGTCTGTTGCAGGGGCTTCTTCGGGGCCTCTTGGAGGCCTAGGGGTCGGCCTCTTGGAGCCTTTCACTTGTACTGGGGGCTTTGAGGGGCCGTTTGGTTTTGCGGCCTCAAGGGGGCATGTTCTGTTCGGGGTCTTGGGGGCCATCATGCGGGGGGGGCGGTCTCCGTGGTCTCTGGGCCTCTCTTGGGCCATCTCGTTGGGCCGTCTTAAGGTCCTCTTGGGCCGTTTCTGGGCCCTTTTGAAGCCCGAAGGTTCAAGGACGCGAACACCGTTCAAACATTGCAGTGAAATCAGTGGTTTTTGTCTCTTGAGGCCTGATAGGGGCTTCTCCTGAGCCCTCCTAGGGGCGTCTCGCAGTTCCTTTGGGTCGTTTTGATGCCATCTCGAATATTTTTGAGGCCATCTGGGCGTGTCGGTGTGTTTTTCGAGCCGTCTAGGAAGCGTCGTGAGCATCTTGGAGGCGACGGAGGCTGGACTTGGACGCTCCCGGAGGCCCCGTGGGTGCGCCAGGGAGCCTGGCCCCCCCCCCCTCCGCTTGAACGAGATTTTGGGCACGAGGGGGGAGGAACGGGAGGGGGACAGCGAGATGTCCCACGCGCCTTTCAGGCGATCGCAAACATGGATCAAGGGGGCGTGGATCAGCGACGGGTCCCGTTTCTATTGGAGCTCGCGGACTTCCGCCGCCGAGCGGGGCGGCACCGGCCGCATTTTGGGGGGGAGGGGACCTTTCCCGAGCCACGGATTTGGCGACCGCGCGCCAAATCCACCGATCGCTAATCCATGTTGCGCCCGGCAGGCGGGGGTCGGCGGCTTTGTGGCTTTGGATTTGAGCGAACGGGGCGGCCCTGACTCAAGAGGACAAAACACACACAGACACAATCAATCGTCGATTCACCAGAAAATATGGGAAAATATGGGAAGGGGGGGGACAACAACCCAGAAAATATGCGAACATATGGGGGATCATGCTATTTGTGTCTATCTATTTGTGTGTCCCAGGGCCCCTTCACTGACAGAGTCGCCCCCCTCCTGGATCCCCGAACAAGAGCGCCTCCTGTGGGGCGCCCTGCGGGCCTGGGGCCGTCTCGGATCCCTCCCGGAGCTCTCCCTGGGCCATCGTGGAGTCATCTTAGCTCGGGCGCGTCCCTCTACAGGAGGATTATCTTTGAAAAATAGGCAAAAATTGTCAGGGGGGCGATTTTCTGAATTTTTTTGTGTGTGACAATGTTTGTTTGTTTTTTGACTATTTCAAATTCTCCCTCCAAAATCCGCCTGTAGGGGGACCCGACGTAAGCATAACCTTGAGACCTCGGAAGCACCGGCTGCGAGAAGGCGATCATGCAACCGAAAAACAGATCTTTCTCCCAGGTAGGAGGACGCACAATGACATGCACACACACAAACTCGAAGGTCCGCGCGGACCTCCGAGTTCCTATGTTTGTGTTCTTGCCTGCTCCCCCCATCAGGTTCTGGAAGGATAGCCTGGGGCCCCGATCCCGCTGAGTTCTTGAGTCCCGTCATGCCCGCGCATTGTCCTAATTTCGCCGCAAAGCGAAGTGTGCTTTCTAGTGTTTTTGTTGCCAGGGATGTTGGTCAGGAGGGAAAACAACACATACAGACACAATGAATCGTCGATTCCCCCGAAAAGATGTGAGAATAGGGGAGGTGGGGGGGAAGACGAACACCCAGAAAATATGGGAAACTATCGGGAATCCTGTTATTCGTGTCTATTTATTTGTGTGTCCCAGGGCCCCTTCAGTGTTTTTGTTGTCAGGGATGTTGGGCCTGCGCAGGGCAATCGGTAGGAGGGCACACGCCGGCCGTCCCCGCCGAGGACCAAACTGCGAAGGGATCGCTGGGCGCCCGCCCGCGCGCGGTCCGGATTTTGCCGCAGAGTGCGCTCTGCGTGGTCCTGAGCCGGGATCGTGACCCTTCCAGGGCATCGTCTCGATGCCTTCGATTCGATTCGATCCGAATCGATTTCGACTGCTTCCGCTTCCGACTCCGATTCGCTTTGGGATTCCGATTTTGGTTCCGTTTTTGTTGGGGGGGGTCGTACAATACATACATACATATGTATATATATATATATACACATAATTTCTTTATTTGTTTATTTATGTATTTGTTCATTTTTTATAACAATTATTTAGGAGGCATACTAGCCTGCCGATCTCTGCCGATTCGACTTTTCCCGACTCGGCTGCCGATTTCCGCTGATCCGATTCATTTCGATCGCCGGTCCGACTTGTCGATTCGATTCTGGGCTCTCCTGCCCTTCACACAGCAGTCGATGTGAGGGCACCTCCCGCCGCCCCCTGTCGAAAAGACGATGCAAAATTGTCATGGGGCGCCCGCGCCTGAGCCACCTTCTGCCACATAGTGTACTCTGCACTGTGTGTTGGCAGGGGTGGTGGGCCTGCGCAGAGCGGACCTACGGAGTGCACCGCCGCCCTCCTGGTCAGAAAGCGATCGCGGGGCGCCCCGCGCGCGGTCCAGATTTGGCCGCAAAAGGTATTGTGCACTGTGTTTGGGCAGGGTGCTGACGGTACTGATGGTGCTGATGGGTAACCTGCCCAGAGGGCCCCCCTGTTGCGTCCGTGCATCTCTGGCCCACTCTTGACTCCTCTCGATGGCCCGCCGCGCGCGACACAGAGCTTCAGCACGGGCGTCCCAGGGGGCTTCCAACCTCACCGCGCATGCTCACTGTCTGTTTTGATCGTAGGATGGGGCGGGTCCGGTAGTCACCAACCACCAGACCACCCCAACCCAACCCGAAGGCCCCAATTTACCCTCGATTTCCAGTGGGGGGGGGTCGGGAAACGTCGACAAAAACACGTGTGGAACCCTTACCCCCCCCCAACCCGAAATTCGGGTCTTCGGGTTGGGTTGGGGTGGTCTGGTAGGTAGTCAGGTAGAAACTCATGGTAGCCGCGCATGTCTTCTAAACCCCGCTTTTAGAGTGCACTAGCGTGCGTTAACGTTTGGTGATCGATGGGGAATCGCCGATTTCGCGTCGGCTGGCATCGGTCCAGCGTCGATGAGCGTCGATGAGCGTCGGTCAGTGCCGATTCGGAAGAACCAGCAAGGTGATATGGGAAGCTTGAGTCGCCTCAGAAGGAGGGGGAATCGGAATCGGAATCGCCATCGGGGCAAACGCACAGCGTCACCACAACTACACGGCTTGGGTCGGGACATTCCCGCCCCATGGGGCGTGAGTCGTGCAGCCGAGCATGGCTTGGCCAGGCCACGGATCTGCCCCGATCCGTGCCGAACATACACACTTCCGACAGTGCCGCATACTTGGAGGGAGGGGGGAGCAGGGGGAGGGGGAACGGGGGGGGGGGGGAGGGAGGGGAGGAACGAGGCTGGGAGGGGAGGGGAGGGGAGGGAGGAGGGGGAGGGAGAGGGAGGGGGGGGGGGGGATGGAGGGGAGGGGGGGGGTCGAGGCAGGGGGGGGGGGGCGAGGCCGGAGCAGAGCCTGCCGGAGAGGAGGGGGGGGGAGGCGGGGCGGGCGTGCACAGGTTCTCCGGCTGGAACCGCATCTCGGTCGAGCGGGTGGTGTCCGGGAAGGGCGCCCGCCGCCCCGCGCTTGCGCCAGGGCAGGGCAGGGCAGGGGCCCCCCCGGCGCGCCGCCGACCGGGGAGGCCCGCGCGCCTCCGGGGGCCTGGCTCGAGGGGCTTGTGCTTTTCAGTCGGGCCTGTCCCTCCACAGGGGGAAGACTCACAAGTCGTCAAAGCATCGTCGGGGGACTCTATTTTTGGAGTATTTTTTGGAGCATCTCTGGGATATTTTTGGGGTATCTTTAGTTTTTCGCCCGAAATCCCCTTGTAGGGAGACAGGCCCGACCAAAGCTTATGTCGGGCGATCGCAAGCATGGATCAAGGGGGGGCGTGGATCAGCGACGGGCCCCGCTTCCATGGGAAGTCTCGGAGTTCCGCCGCCGAGCGGGGCGGCACTGGCCGCATTTTGGGGGAGGGCTCCTCCCCCGATCCATGGGTTTGGCGACCGCGCGCTAAATCCATGGAGCTCGGCCACGCGCAGAGGGGGGTGGGGGGAGGGGGGAGGGCTTCTTAGAAGCACCCCTGCTTTTTAGAAGGCGCGGGCCTCATCTGTAGATGTAAGGCCGGCGCCTTCTAAGAAGTAACCTCCTGCGAAGAAGCCTTCGCCCCTCCCCCTACCACCCCCCCTGCGCGCCGCCAGGGATCGCTAATCCATGCTTGAGCGTCCCCGACTACGGGCCCCGGAGCTGGCCAGCAGAAATCGCCGCGCGCCTTCCATGGCAGTCGGGCCGAGGTATCCGATCGAGGTCGGTTCGGGGAGGATGCCCTAAGGTTAAGTCGGGCCTGTCCCTCTACAGGGGGAATATTCAAAAATAGTAACATATTATCGGGGGACTATGTTTTGAACATTTTGTGAGTAGCTTTTGACTATTTGTATGTTTCGTCCAACATTCCCCTGCAGGGGGACACGCCTGACCTAACCCTAAGGTTCTTCGTGCGTGTTGGGTGCTCTTGTGCCCCCTGGGGAGGGTACCCTCGGACGTTCTGTGTGTTTTGGTCGTCGGAGGGCCCCGTGCTCTTGAAGGATGTTCTTCTGGCCTAGGTCCGACCGTACTCGCAAAGTGCCTGCTCGCAAACGTCCGAAAAACACATGAGGCATTCCACAAAGGGCTTCGCCTTCGGGGATCCAAGGAGTTGCAATCTCTTCCTCGGCGGAAGGCGGCGAAAGGGCGGAGGAATGTCGTCGGAAATAAAAAGAGGCCGCCTCCGCCGGCGGAAGGCCGGCGGAAGGATGCGGAAGTAAAAGATGCGCCTTCAAGAAATGAAAACGTTTTTGGGTTCAGGGTTTCCGGAATCCGCCACATGGTCGCTCAATATGATGGATCGTAGAACCTCCGCGGCAGATCTGGGCTACTTGCGTGCAGCGAGTAGTGGCGCGCGTTTGTATAAGAGAGGGAGGGGGGGAGGGGCTCCCTGGTCGCGGCTCGATGAACTGGTCAGCTTCGGCCTTCTAAGAGGTCTGGGGTCCGATTGTGGCTGGATTTGCACCCGACGGGGCTGGGACGAGGAGAACTCCGTTCCAGGGCGTTCCAGAACGCTCTCAGGGCGCTCTGGGACGCTCTGAGAAGGCCGCCGCGCCCGAGCCATCTCCCGGAGCCGCTAGGCCTCAGAGATTCTCGATTGATCCTTCTCTCTTGAACTTATCCTCGTCCTGGCTTCGTCTTGTGGGGATGGGTCCGGGGACCGATTGTGACCGTATCTGCACCCTTCCCCCTCTCCGAGGAGGATGAGGAGGAGGAGGAGGAGGAGGAGGAGGAGGAGGGGGAGGAGGAGGAGGAGGAGGAGCAGGAGGAGGAGGAGGAGGAGGAGGAGGAGGAGGGTGGAGGAGGAGGAGGAGCAGGGAGGAGGAGGAGGAGAGGAGGAGGAGGAGGAGGAGGGAGGAGGAGGAGGAGGAGGAGGAGGAGGAGGAGGAGGGAGGAGGAGGAGCACCCTTCCCCCTCTCCTTGCTCGATTTTCTCTGGGCTTAGCCAGCTCAGAACCCCTGGCCGCCTCCATAAGGCTTGCGGCATGCTGCCCGCCCCTTAACTGAAAATTTGTTCCGCTTCCCGTCGTGCTGCCTCTGCGTGCAGGTGCTGCTGCTTCGTCCTCGTCCTCCGCGGTTTTTTGCAGTGTTTTCTCGGGGGCCTCTCTCAGCACCGATTCTCCGACCCCCATCCCCATCCCCATCCCCTTCGAGACCCCCACCAAATTACCACCCCAGTTGGGAATACACCCCTCGAAACCCGAAGGGGACGGCCTAGATCCCCATCTACGGGGGTAAATCGGCCAGTGGGGCGGCCACGCCGCTGGGGATGGGGATCAGTGAAATGATACTCGCTCTCGGAGGCTTAGGGCTGGCCGCTTGGCGGCTCTTCAAGGCTGCTGAATGCTTTGCGGGGCCCTCGGGGGGCTTCTTGGAGGCCTCTTGGGGCATGGTTGGGGTTTTGAGGGCCATCTTGGGGGGAAGGTTCCAGGGGTCCCCTGCGAGGACCCCCTCTTGGGCCTCTCTTGGGGCCCTCTTGCGGGCCATTTTGGCTGTCTTGGGGGCTTCTTAGGTCGTCGAGGACCCTCTCGGGCCGTCTCCGGTTCCCTTTGGGGGGGGGGCCTCTCAGGCCGTCTTGGGCTTGTCTGGCGGCCATTTTGGATTTTCAGAAGCCCGAGCAGGCGATGCTGTGTCACTGTTCCCAAAACAACTGGCACATGGGCACACCATCTGTTTTGCGTCTTGAGGCCCTCGTGTGGGTGCTCTTGGGCCCTCTTGCGGCGTCTTGGGGCCCTCTTGGGCTGTCTTGGGGCCAACCTAAATGTTCTCGTGGCCGCTCCAGCGTGTTGGGGCCCCTCTGGAATCGTCTCAGAAGGCATCTTTGGCATCTTGGCGGCCACAGTGGATGGAATTCGAGGCTCCGATGGCCCCAGAGGTGCGTTGACGACCTCGTCGCACCTCCTGCCCCTCCTCCCCCCCCCCGCTCCGGGATTTTGGACCCCGGGGGAGGGGGGGACCGCCACCCGCCTCACGCGCCCCTTCCACCCCGGCAGGCGGGAGTCGGCGGATGTTGACCGTCACGACGCTGGAAGCAATGTTGAGTCGGGCCTGCCCCTCTAGAGGAGGAGTATTCAAGCATAGTCAAGGATAGTCTGGGGACTATTTTTTGACTATTTTTGAGATTGTTTTGAATCTTTTTCCCATCTCTGCTAGCGCACCGTCTGGTGCAAGGCTTCTGACTTCCACTGACTTTGAATATTTTTCGGGTATTTTCAATTTTTCCGTCCAAAATTCGCCTGTAGGGGGACACGCCCGACCTAAAAGTAATGGCCTCTTCGGGCTCGGGAGGGGCTCTGGACACTCGGGCAGAACCAGAGGGGGGGATAGGGAAAGGGGGGGGGGTTACGAAATCTGCTGCGTGCAGCCGGCTTCGGCCCCACCGAGGGGCCCCTTCCTCGATACGTGGCCGCACCCGGCGCCGGGAGGCGCCGAAAAACAGCAGCTGCGCGTGAGCTGCTTCTCCCCCCGCCCCCCCCTTTGCCTATCCCCCCTCTTCGCCCGGCCCGAGAGACCTCGGGCCGTTCCCCAGGGCTCGGGATCCGGGGCGGGGCGGGCCCCCCATTCGTGGCGGAGGCGCGCCGTGGCCGGAGAGCGCGCCTTCTGTGTCGGGTTCGGCCCTGCCCAGAGGAGCAGCGCGGCGGCTGCACGGCTGATTGCGAAGGCCTCACGGCCGATGCCGCCGACCCTGTAGGCAGCGACAACGAAGACAAGGGAGGTAGAGGAGTCCAAGATGCCCTCAGGTGGCTCGAAGACGGCGCCAGATGCCTGCAAGGTCGTCCGAAGACAGCTCAAGAGGCCTCCTACAGGGTTCGGGAGCGGCTCCAGAGAGTGCCAAGATAGGCAAACAGCGCCCTCTGATTTCTCATCCCTTTGCATCGGAGATGGACAGACCCCCCCATCCTGACACGTCGGTGAGTGAGTTGTCCGCTTGCGGCTCTCGAGAGGGCGCCGCGGCCGTCGTTTTCCGGGCCTGCGCCCGCCAGGCTTGGGCCCGAGGTCGTCTTCACCAAACCACGTTTTGCCAAAGGGGGTTCTTCAGGAGGAACAGAAACGCACAGACACAATTAATCCTCGATTCCCCAGACTATCTGGGAAAGTATAGGAAGTGGGGGGGGGGAAGACAGAAACCTAGAACATATGGGAAATGTGGGGAATCTTTCTATTCTTGTGTATTTCTTTGTGTGTCCTGCTCTGTCCGTCCCCGAGTGCAAGCCGCCGCCCGCCCCACCGGGCTGCTCCTCGGGGGCGCCTCTGCCCGCCGCGCGCCCCGCCGCCCGCGCGGCCCAAGCCCCCGGCGCGGAGGCATCTGCAACATCTACGAGTACCTGGCGTGGAAGTACCCCGACAAGGCGGGCGACGGCAGGACGGGGTCGGCTTCGACGGCGCTGGCTCGCAGGCTGCCCGCGTGAGGACGCGCGCGAGCGCCCCCCGTCGTCGGTGCGGCGCGGCGTGGCCGCGCCCCCTGGCTCGCGCAGGCCGCGGCGTAGGATCGCCGTGCTACCTCGCGTGGAGATCCGTTTCTGGTCGTCGCTCAGGTGGACGTGGACATGCACGCGGAGTTCCTGATGAACGCCGGGGACGCAGGCGCGCGAAGCCGCCGTGGGCCAGCCTGGCAGCTTTCAGTCGGCCCGCCCTTCTTGGATCGCCGCCGCGGTGGTTGCTGAGTGGGCAAGGGGTGTTATGAGTTGATGCCAAGGGGGCTTGTAGCTGACCTGACATGTAGCTCGTATAGGTGGGTTGCAGGTGCCCTAAGTGGTTGGGGTGGGTTCGACAACTCTGGAAGTGGACAGAGTCCACTCAGCCCGGAACCTTACACCCCCTAGGCAACTATGGGCTTTTGTAACCCACCTACGAGGTAGATCAGGTTATGCATAAGCCACCTTGGCATCAACTCATAACACCCCTTGCCCACTCAGCAATCACCCACGAAACGCTGTACTGAGTGGTGGCTGACGCATGCGGGCGGTGCCACTGGGGCCGTCGGTGGAGCTCCCTATGGGGCCACTATACTGGGTGGTGGCTGACGCATGCGGGCGGTGCCTCTGGGAACTTCGGTGGAGCCCCCTATGGGGCCACGAGACGCTGTACTGGGTGGTATCTGACGCATGCGGGCGATGCCACTGGGGCCTTCGGTGAAGCCCCCTATGGGGCCACGAGGCGCTGTACTGGGTGGTGGCTGACGCATGCGGGTGGTGCCACTGGGACCGTCGGTGGAGCCCCCTGTGGGGCCACGAAACGCTGTACTGGATGGTGGCTGACGCATGCGGGCGGTGCCACTGGAGCTTTCGGTGGAGCCCCCTATGGGGCCACAAAACGCTGGGCTGGGTGGTGGCTGACGCATGCGGGCGGTACCTCTGGGACCTCCAGTGGAGCCCCTCATGGGGCAACGAGGGGCCACAAAGCGCTGTACTGGGTGGTGGCTGACGCATGCGGGCGGTGCCACTGGGACCTTCGGTGGAGCTCCCAATGGGGCCACGAAGCGTTGTACTGGGTGGTGGCTGACGCATGCGGGCGGTGCCTCTGGGACCTTCGGTGGAGCCCCCTATGGGGCCACGACTCGCTGTGCTGGGTGGTGGCTGACGCATGCGGGCGGTGCCACTGGGACCTTCGGTGGAGCCCCCTATGGGGCCACGAAATGCTGTGCTGGGTGGTGGCTGACGCATGCGGGCGGTGCTACTGGGACCTCAAGTGGAGCCCGTTATGGGGCCACGAAACGTTGTTGCTGTGTGGTGGCTGACGCATGCGGGCGTTGCCACTGGGACCTTCGGTGGAGCTCTGTTTGGGCTCACGAAACGTTGATTTCTTCGTCCCTTCGTGTTGACTGGTTTTCTCAAGGCCCATCCAGCTCAGACCCCCTGGCCGCCTCCAAGCCACGTCCACGATATCTCCCCCGATCTCATGGCCCCTCTTTTTTATTTTCTCGGGACCTCGCAAAAGGGGGGGGTGCCACAGGAGGGGGGGGGGGTGAGTTCGGTCCGCTGGCGCATCGAACCACGGACAACTGATGCAAAGCGAGGTCTCCGGCCGCCGCCGGAACCCGAGAGGCGTCGACATTCGGGGCGCGCGGGGGGCATCGTTTTTCGGAAATTCGATGCACCAGCGGATCGAACTCCCCCCCCTCCTCAGGGTCCCCCCCCTTCTTTGGTGGACCCCGATTTTCTTCTTCTTTTTCTTCTTCTGCTCTCAGTGCGTCCCCCGACCACGCCTTCGTCTCCGCGCACATGCATACTGGGCCCATGACTTGGCAGCCCCTCTCCCGGGCGCTGGGCGCCTCCCTCTTGGAGCGCCCCCGGATGCTCAGGTTCACGACGGGTGCGGTCGGTTTTCGTCTCTGCACCGAGGGCTGTTGGGATGCTGTTGTGTGTTATCGGTCCGATGTCGGGTGTTGCTTGCTAGGAGTGCCCCCGGCCCAGGCTGCCCCCAGGTTTCCGCTCCGTCTGGGAGCTCCTGGGGCCCTCTGGGCCTCGTGATGCTCTGGAGGCTGTCCGAGCCCCCCCCCGAGAATCCTGCGGGCCCCTTGGGCCGGGGGCACTTCCAGCAACACCCGACGATATCGGTCGAGAGCTGCTGGGGGACGCGTTGAACAAATCACGACTTCGGATGTCTGGGCTCGTGGTTTTGCGAGTCGGGTCGTTCCGCGAGGGTTCCAGTTGCCAGAACCAGGAAAAAC